CATTTGCCTAGTCCAGATAATTCATATAAGCGGAACTATACAATATTTGTGTTTTTGTACCTGGCTCATTTATGAGGCAGGGATCTTGTGTGTCTTATTCACTGCTCTCTCAGCTGAGACCTAACTCAGAATATATAGCACATGGTAGATGCACAATAAATACTGGTTGACTCAATTCATCAATTTTAAGCAAGTCACAATTTTTCTGGATCTCAGTTTCTTAACTGTGTATAACCATATATTCATTAAACATTTTTTTGAGACTTTATAGTGTTTCAAGCATTGTGCTTTACTCACTGAAATATCATAATGTGCAAAATAGCTGTCTCTGCTCAATGAACATTCAGTTTCTTTCCTATCTGGGAATGTCATCTTCTTTGATTCTGTGCACTTTTAGGATGGAAATACAGTGGACCATTGAATAAGGGTTACAGATGCTAACTGCCCACACAGTTGAAAACTGCATTTATCTTTTGACTCCCCAAAACCTAACTACTAATTGCCTACTGTTGACTGGAAGGCTTACCAATAACATAACCAGTTGATTAACACACATTCTGTATATGTATTACATACCGTGTACTTACTCTTATAATATGCTAGAGAAAAGAAATTGTTATTAAGTAGTAAGAAAGAGAAAATACATTTGTAGTACTGCCCTTAGCAAAAAAAAAAAAAAAAAAATCCATATTTAAGTGGACCCTCACAGTTCAAATCCATGTTATTTTAAGGGTCCACTGTATATAGAACAATGAAGCATACGGAAGTAAGGGAATCTCTGCCTCATCTGTCAGAATATGTGATCCTAACTGGAGTGACAGATGTCAAAAGCCATACTGTCTTCAAATTCATTTAACATTAGCTGCACCTTTCATTCTGTAGGGTGATAATGAGGGTCACGTGGATATATATATATATATATCTGTGTGTGTGTGTTTCAAACTATAAAACTCTCCATAAATGTAAGGTAAAAGTATTGTAATTTTTGATTTACTACTTTTTATGCTCTGGGAACTAAAAGCAAACTACTGCACTATATACAAATTCTAATGTAATGTACTTATAAACTTACTGACAAACATGGCAGAACCTGGTTTTTTAAATCAATGTTAATTATACTGTGCCTGAATTTTGCCAGGCCTGTTCCTATAGTGTTACATGTTGACCAACAAAGAAAGCTATTTCCAGACAAAGGGGCTGATGGTACTATAAACAAAGCACTATGCTTTATTCACTTTCAATACCCAGCACAGCACACACACATACCTTTAAACCTCAATGACATGAAGAGGGCAAGCAGACCTTACCAACCCTCTCAGCTCTTCAAATAACACTTGAGGATTTCTACTTGAAGGCCTGTCTTCCTAAGCTTGTGCTTTCAAAACGGGCTGGACTGATCCCAAATACTGAAGTAACAAATATTACTAAATTCTGTCATTTCCTCTACCAAAAAAGTGATTTTACTACTACTTCTGGTTGTGATGAAAGGTCCTATTGACTATTCAAATCCACAACCAAGTTATGGATGCAGTATTAAATGACTTCACTCCTTTTTCTCTGGCACTTTAACACATGCCAATGCTTTCATCCACCTCCACTAACCTGGCTTATAAATTACTAAGGTGGGGCCATTTTAATAGTATGATTTGTTCACATCTCTAGAGATGGGGTATAAATGAGACTGGCTGAGAAGACAAACTCTCCTTTGACAACATGTATTAGTATGTAAAGTATAGAAAAATAAATCTTCAAAAAGTTGGAAATTTTTTACTGATATAAAATGTGGTTAGGGCCATACTAATTAGTGGTTCTTTGATTTGTTATAAATTGAAATGTAATAAAGTGATGGTATTAAAGACAAAATGAAACATTCCCCAAGAAATAGTAAAAGATGGAACATAAACAGTTGAAGCAAAAAAAGGTTAAAGGTCACAAATTTGCTAAAAAGTTTCTTTCTAAATTGTCAGAAGGGGACTCCTGAATGCACTCTGAAACCTAAGAAAATTTGTTTATAAAAAAAGTTTATTGTTCTCTCCTTTTAAAACTGCCACAGAGTGATGAAAAAACATCAGAGAGCAAGATGCTTGTTCTCTCTGGATTTAAAGGAGTTAACTTATCCATCTTAAACCCACACACAAATGACAAGTGTAGTCACTCAAATCTTCAAAAAGATTATTAAGTTGCAGAGGATACAAAATAACTAAAAACTATGAATTGCTTAAACAGATGAATAAAACTAGTTCAGCATGCTTGTGGCCTTGGTTCAGTTAAAAATAAAGTCAGAGGCTTCTTGGGAAGTGCTCCAAAGTGAGGACCAAACAGGTACTAGAGTTAAGAGTCTGAGATGCAGGGTTGACTTTCCCAAATTTTCCACTGCACACAGCCTCCATCTTTGTCTTGTTTTCAAAGCAAGCTGGGCTATCTGTAGAACCTCTCTCTCTTTTTTTAAGATTTTATTTATTTATTTATTTGCGAGAGCGAGAATGAGAGAGAGAGAGAGCACATGAGAGGGGGGAGGGTCAGAGGGAGAAGCAGACTCCCCGCCGAGCAGGGAGTCCAATGTGGGACTCGATCCCGGGACTCCAGGATCATGACCCAAGCCGAAGGCAGCCGCCCAACCAACCGAGCCACCCAGGCGCCCTGTAGAACCTCTTTCACCATCCTCTGGCATTCTTATTGGGCCCACAGAAGAAAGAACTCAATATGTGTATGCCTCCATGTGGATATATGTGTATGTGTGCACGTATGCACATGCAAGTGTGTGTCTTCAGCTGAGATTTACCAGGAAATCCAGGCATTTTGGCTTTACCTTAATCAGCAGTAGGCTCCACCTGGAATCTTCCAACAGACTTGGGACCTTAGTGTAGGTACTCAGGGCAAGAAACAGAAAATAGGGCAAGGAGAAACAAACCTCTGCATTCAGATCAGAACTTAGGTCCACCAACTTTTCTGACATCTTGCCCCCCAGACTCTGGACTCATGTGCCCTTTTCCACATCGGCTGACTTCACCTGGAGATACTCTCTAATTTACTTAGACCTCTTCTCCCTTCATGCACTCTTAGTTAGGCCACTTCTGTCTAAGCACTGCCTTTTCCATAGTATGACAACTATAATCAGTAGCATAAGACAGCCTTGAAATTAAGTCCTATTTCTTTCTTTCTCTTTCTTTCTTTCTTTCTTTCTTTCTTTCTTTCTTTCTTTCTTTCTTTCTTTTCCTTCCTTCCTTCCCTCCCTCCCTCCCTCTCTCTCTTTCTTTCTCTTTTTTAAGCAGGCTCTATGCCCAACATGTGGCTTGAACTCATGACCCCGAGAGCAAGAGTAGCATGCTCCACCAACTGAGCCAGCCAGGTGCCCCTAAAGTCCTATTTCTTAGACTAAGGTACTTTTCTGCCAAAAATGGAGGGAGGGAAAGCATCAGGTGTGGGAAGAATGGCACATGGAAAGATGAGTCACAGGCCAGAGACTGGGAGCAAGGCTGCCTGCCTAGAGTAAAGAACATGGGCTGGAATGGCAGTAATAAGAAAGCAGTATGACTGAGAGGGCAATGAGTATGAGCTTATAAAGCAAATGATTAACTAAAGACTGCAGAGTAGAAATTTGATCCAATATCAGAAAAGGATAAGAATCTGGGGCGCCTGGGGGGCTCAGTCAGTTAAGCATCTGCCTTTGGCTCAGGTCATGGTCCCAGGGTCCTGGGATCGAGCCCCGCATCGGGCTCCCTGCTCCGCGGGAAGCCTGCTTCTCCCTCTCCTCCCCGCTTGTGTTCCTGCTCTCGCTGTGTCTCTCTCTCTGCCAAATAAATAAATAAAATCTTAAAAAAAAAAAGAAAAGGATAAGAATCTAAATAAAAATCAAATTAAAAAACATTAAACTGATATTTGATGAGGGATAGCAAGGCAAAGATGATACCATAGGGAGGAATAAATCAGGAAAGAATAAGGGAACTGTTCAGTGAGTCTTTAGATTCACATGGATAAAAGGCAGCTTTTTAAAAACAAAAATATCATAAACCTTCTTGCTTCTATTAAAAGAAAAGGTCTGGGTGCCTGGGTGCTCAGATGGTTAAGTGTCTGCCTTCGGCTCCGGTCATGATCCCAGGGGCCTGGGACTGAGTCCCGCATCGGGCTCCCTGCTCAGTGGGGAGCCTGCTTCTCCCTCTGCCTCTCTCTGTCTCTTATGAATAAATAAATAAAATCTTTAAAAAAAAAAGAAAAGGTCTGAGGATACAGCTGATAATGTCTTTAAATAACAGTCAAACTGTGGATACTCATCCATGTGATATTCCAATTGGGTATGTCCAAATAAAAACAAAGCACTGAAGCTGATCTTCCTTTACAACTAGAAAATATATGAAATGTCTACCTCTTGGAAATACAATCAAGTATGCTAAAGAAATACTGCATATTTCTTTCAGGAAAATGCAAACCCAAGCATCTGTTAAGTCTTTCTACAGCATATGGAAAGACTTTATTTAAATGAGATACTAACTGGCTTAATGTTGAGAGGGTCACAAAAACCCCAGATGGGTTGGAAGGACCACGTGGTTGGTCTTTTCTTTTGGTTCTTGCATAATAAGGTGAGGAGACCATTAAGGACTTGCCAAAGGCACTAAACTTTTACTCCATAAACAAATCCCAATGCAAAATGAGTTCCTAAAAGTGGTTTAAGAGAAGAAAGTGATCTAAGAGAAAAAAGCTGTGTGAGAAGCTACAGAGGAAAGAAGTTATAAACACACATTCAAGTACAGTCTACTAGCAAGTAACAACTTAGTAAAGGGCTTCCGAGTTTAGTAGGGTTTCAATGTGCACCCATTGCTTCTCAGCAGTATTTATAATGGCATGAAATAAGACTGTGGCCAAAAAAGAACTTCACATTATCACCATAACTGTTTAAATAAAATAATCAACCACAGTACTTACTTATAAAGAAAGAAGGTTAGCAATCCAAAGAAGTAGGTTGTATGTGGGAAGTAGAGAAGGAGTGAAGAGAAGTTACTTACCTGTGCTATATTTTTGTTCAGAAGATAGACACCATAATCGAATTGTAACTTCTCCCCTCCTTTTGGATATAATGGAAACCTAAAAAAAAATTAAGTCGGATCAGAAATTTTCCAAAGCTTGACTAAAACAACCTCCAAGTTGTTGACAAAGACAGAAGTTCCTTGAATACAGCATAAATATCTGGAGACTTGGACTACACCACTTGGTTATAGTCACTGCAACCTATTATCTTATTATCTTCATAATTGGTCAAATCAGATCAATGGTTGCTTTGTTTCAAAAAAAGAATTGAGGTGGCTCAGTTGGTTGAGGGTCCATCGGACTCTCAGTTTCGGCTCAGGTCATGATCTCAGGGTGGTGAATCTGAGCCCTGCAATGGGCTCTAGGTGCTTAGAGGGGAGTCTGTTAGGGACTCTTTCTCTCCCTTTCCTCTGCCCCTCCCCTCCCCCCACACGCACGTGCTCTCTTTCTCTGTCTCTCAAATAAATAAATAACTTTCAAAAAAATTGAGTAGGTCATGCAACAAGGGACTAATACATAAAAAAGTGACCCACTAAGCCCAAGGAGTTGAGGCTACTATGTTTCATATTTACGTATCATAAGTTTACCACCCTAAAATTAAGATCCTAGAAGCTTTTTCCTCTAATACTTTGGGCCTGACATCTCAACTTCTATTAAATAGAAAAGAAGATTAAGGGAAAAAAAAATCAGACTTGAAAATAACATATAAGATTTCTGTTTCTTTCAAGGTGGCCAGTCAAATCAACAGTACTAATGAGTGAAAATTCATCCAAAATTCATTCACATCCACAGGGGTGGCTATTTGGATGTTATTCCTCCAAGGCAATGTCATGCCAGAGAGCTCTCATAAGACTTTCCATCTTAACCTGACTCACTGAATTAACAAAGGCATGAGATTTGAGGATCTACCAAGATGATGAGTTATTTTAGAAAACAAGTTTCCCTCGCTGTTCTATCCCTGCAAATGAAGAAGAAACGGTTATATTCTACCCATAGTTTCCCCATTCTCAAGACTAAGCACACATTTCTATCCTCTGAAATAAACACACAAACATAGATCAATCACAATTCAGATACGATCAAGAAGAAAACTTCACCTTCCTTAGTTTTGCAATATATGATTATTCTCAAAAATAAAATAATCCTATTGAAATGAATGGAAGGTGACAATTAGTGGATATTCTTAATTTCAATTGCCCGAGGGAAAGATACATTCCATACAATTTGGTGGATATTGTTTTCCAGGAAAAGTAAAATAAAGGAAATAATGAAAAACCTTTATGTTAAATTCTTGAAAACTGTTGATTACAGTTTCCGAAAGGTAAATTCATTGCGCTATAAAATTACAGGCACTGGAGTTTGAGCAAGATCACGAGCTTTCTTTTTTCTCTACTAAAGAACACCAAATGCTTCATACATCTATCAAGAAGATACAGCTTTGTATTTAACTGAAGCAGCAAAAAATAAACTAGGCCATGTGGTATGGCCCTAAATTGAGATACATAAAAATAACAGCAAATTCAGGATAAGCAAAGCGCAATACTAGGCTTTCCCAGGGTGTTTGGGAATCATCCAAATTTGCATGAGGTAGCTTGCAAAGAAACTACCTAATTGCAAAGACATACTAACACGGGGGCCTCTGGAAGGAATCGAGTGGAGTCCTAAAGCTCTGTATTACGTAGTTGTTATTCTATGAACCATCACATGTAGACTATCTGCACAGCTCTCCGACCCCACATATATCTCCACTTTCAAGTTATCAATACAGAAACAGTTTTAAATGTTAGAAGAGTACATTGAAATAAGCACACTGAAAGCCAAGTCTCTAAATTCCTGAAAAATGGATATCACAACATGGACTTTATTACTTCATCAGGACTTCTTTATAGAAAAAGTCACAAGGTGTGTACTTAACATTAAAATAAATCTGAAGAGTGATTAAAGCCAAAGGTTCAAATAGGACAATTTTAAGACAGATCAATCATTAGGACAGAATTCATATCTTATACTGCTTTCAAATTCTTAAGGGGCCACTTCAAGTTAACAATATAACAGCTTATAACTATTATACATGCATCTCACTTTGCAAAAGTTACATGGATCTATACATCTATTAGGCAATCTAGAAAAATGAAATCCGTTTTAAAGGGTAAAACCTATTACCATCAGGACATAAGATACAAATCAAAGGCATCATAATTCAATATAGATAGAGAATCACATTAGCAAACTGTAGAGGGTTTAGGTAAGAATCATGGTCATTCAAGTACAACGAGAAAAATGTCCTTACCTCCACAAATAGGATTTATTAAAGGGGAGTATTACATTAAATAACTGGAGGAAGAACCATATATTCCCTATTATAAAACTCTTACAGAAAAGGCAATTAAAATGATTGATATTAAATTCATTTCAAACTAAATTTCCAAACTGTTTGAAAAGTTCACTAACTCTACATGGTACATATCAGTGAATATAAAAGTAATAAATAGATTATGTGTGAAGATGATCTGGAGCTCTCGAGTACATAGTAATTTCAGTATGAATAAAGAATTAGGACACGACTACCACAAAGCTATTGTCATCCCAGGCTGTATTAACATAAACAGAGCAGATAATCAGGAAACATGCTACTGGCAACTACTTTGTACTGGGTCAGACTATACTGAGAGATTTATGTTCAGTTCTGGGAGTTAATTTTTTTTATAAGCATATAGATAAACAACTGGGAACTTCTTACAGGTTATGTTTATTATAGGTTTTATAATAATCTCATTTGACTATAAAAAGCATGAAGTGAAGTAGAGTGGTCCAGAGTTTTTGTTAAAGAAACTGATTTGCCTTGATCACCTACTCAGTGGAAGAGACATGACTGGAGTATCAGGTCTTCAATTATAAATTGAGTATTCTTTCTATCACCTCTGAGCGCTTTAGAGAAGCAGCACACCCAAGATCACTAGAAGAATGGGAGCTGTGGTTCTGAGAGAAGTGGCTGAAAGAACCGGAGATGTTTCGTCTGGAGCACAGAAGTCCCAGAGAAAACCAATGAAGGACTTCCAGAGAGAAAAATAATTGTTTTTGTTCCCATGGTGTCAAACAGGGAGAACCGAAGTTAATGGTAAAAGTTACAGGAAAATTCATTTCACCCCAGAGTTAGTCAAAATCCAAAAGATCCTGGGTAGAGGCAGCCAATCAGAAGCTGGACAACAAATAGTGGACATATATGCGGGGGCGTAATAGGCTGAATGGTGGCCCCCGAAAGGTATGTCCATATCCAAATTCTGTGAATGTGATCTTTTTTGGAAAAAAGGCTGCAATTAAGTTCAGGATCCTAAGACGATATCATCCTCAATTATCTGGGTGGGCCCAAATCCAATACATGTCTGTATAAGGGAGACACAGAGGAGAAGGTCATGTGAAGATGGAGGCAGAAATTAGTTACATAGCCACAAGCCAAGGAATACCTGGAACCACTAGAGGCTGGAAAAGGCAAGGAAAGATTCTCCCCGAGAGCCTCTGGAGGGAGTGTGACCCTGCTGACACCTTAATTTTGGAATTCAGGCCTCCAGAACTATGAGAGAATAACTTTCTGCTGTTTGAAGCCACCAAGTCTGTGATAATTTGTTACAGCAGCCCTAGAAACTGACACAGGGGTGTGTGTGTGGAGAGGGAAGCAAACACTGAATGACTCATTAGACTAAATGAAGTATACCTCCTCCATCTCCAAGATTCTGTAATATTGAATAAGCAAAACTAAATATACTGAATATAACTTCATCTTTCCTTCAGGAACCAAGAAAATATTTCAAGACTATAATGCCAAAGAGTCATCATGATAGGCAACAGCTAAGGATGCAAAGTGTATCTACTGAGGTGCTAGTAAATGGAATGAGAAAAAGAGATTCATATGTATATGAATTCATACACACACACACACACCCCCCCAATTACTTTATATGTGTGTGTATGTGTATATACATGAAGAATATATCTCACTCAATTTGGAAAAAAGTTGTAAAAGAAGGTGATTTTGAATCATTCTTACTTTAAAAAGATATAGTTATTAAAAGCACTATCCTCTCCCTAACCTAGACGTTTTTATAAAGGACTCCAAATTGGTGACAGTTTCTTGCCTTCACCTTCAGAACCCCACATCAAGGTCTGGTTCTTTAATTATTCAACTGGGGATAAGGATATGGTATAGTTAATTCAAATTTTTTTATTGTGTATATTAAGATCAATTCTGCTCAATGCATTTGTAGAAAATGTGACAATACATACTCAACGTTTTGAGGTCATGACTTTACTTCAAACTAACACACTTTTCTCCTGTTCAGATTAGTTTTCTACCACCACTTTTATCAGTTACTCAGGCCTAGAATGACATTCAATTTTTACCCACCTTCTTTGCCTTTTATATATGCAATGATTCACCAAGTCAACAAGTCATTTTTCCTATGAAACATTCTTATCTCTCCATTCCACTGCCACTCTGGAAAATTCTTTGTTGTTGTGCGCATTGTAGGGTATTTTAGCAACATTCCTGTCTACTCACTAGAAGCCAATATTATTCTTAATCCTCTTAAGTACAAGTTTTTATCATGTTGCTTTTCAGCCCTGCTTCCTAATCACTTATTGTCTTCAATTTCCACTCCTCTGCCCAGCTTTCCAGGCCTAAGCGATCTGACCTGCCTGCCTGATTTATGTGCAGCTTATTATGCTCAAGTGGTTTCCTCACAGTCTCATGAACACACGAAGCTCATCATTCTCTTTGTTCACTTCCTAGAAATGCTTATCTCCCTTTCCCTCCACCTGGAAGAGGAAAAGAGACTGTTTCACTTCATCACGACTAAAGAAAAGAAACTCACATTTTTCTACTGAGTTGTATAATATCCCTAAAGCCGCTGTGTCACTGCAAGTTGATGATAATGCAGTGACACCATAAGGCAGACCACAGGCATACATACAGGATGGGAAATGGCTGCAGTAGAGTGAGGGAAAGGGAAAGGAAATAAAATCAGCAAGGTAAAGGGTCTGTCCGGATCATGCCGGGTCTT